TATTAAAAAAATTAAAATAAAATTATTTTTTTAAAAAAAAGATATTTTAAATATTATTATTATTAATTTATAATCTTAAAACTTTAAATTATATAAATAATTTATTTTAAATTTGATAAATATATATTTTAAATTTTATAAAAATTAAATTAGTAATTAAATTATTTAATATATAATTTTTATATTAATTTTAATTAAATTTTATATATAGTAATAATCAAAAATAATACAATACTTAAATTTTTTACTAATTATAATTAGTAAAAAATTTAAATATTGCATTATTTTTAATTATTATTATAATATATTAAGAAATTAATATTCTAATTATAATAAAAAAAGTATTAAATTATATAATTTTTCAAGTGATAAATTAAATTACAAGATTAATATATAATAGAAAAAATTTAAAATAAATATTTATTTTTGAAAAATAGATTATATTTTGAAATTTTATTTATAAAATTATTTTTTTATTTTAATAAAAAATATTTTTTTGTAAAATTTTACTTTATAATATTTATAATAATACTTTATTATTATAATATATAATTCTAATTATAATTTAATCTTAATAATTATTATTATTATATTTATAATCTTGCAATTTAATTAATTTATTTCTTAAAAAATTATATAATTTAATATTTTTTGTATATTAAATTTCTTTAAGATTTTAATTAATTAAATTATAAGTTAATTATTATTTTTATTAAATATATATAAAATTTAATTAATCAAAAATATTTTTTTAATACTAAAAATTACTTTATTTATTATTAATTTCTATTTAAAATATTTACAGAAATTATTTAATTATATAATAAATTTCTAAGATATTTTTTATAAAAAATATATTAGTTTATAAATCTTATTAAAAATTATTTAATAATATATTTTTTTATTATTATATTTTTATTTATAGAATCTTTACATTTTAAAATATTAAATATTTTTAAAGAATTTGTATTATATTTAAATAAATTTTAATATCTAATAACTTAATTAATAAATAAGATAAAATTAAAATTTTATTTTAAAAAAATAATTTATTAAATAATTTAAAAAAAATAAAATTTAAAAATTTATTATATTTTAATAAAAATTTATTTAAATAATATAAAAATTTATATATATATTATAGTAATAATTATAATAATATAAAACTAGAATTTTTATTAATTATAATTAATAAAATATATATTTTTATTATATATAAAAGTTTTTAATTTTATTAATAATTATTTTTTTATTTTTAATTTAAAAAATAACTAAAGTTTTCTATTTTAATATATATTATTTTTAGATTTTTTATTTAATAACTTATTTTAATTACTTAAATATTTATAAAAAATTTACTTAAAATTATTATTATAATATTAATATTATTTTTAAATTAAAAAATTAATTTAGAAAAATAATTAAAAAATTTTATATAAAAAATTTTATAAAAATAATATATAGTAAATCTAGATATAATAAAATTTAGATAAAATGAATTTTTATTTATAATAAAATTTTCTAATATACAAAATTTTTTTTAATATAATTTTCTATCTAAATAAAATAAAAATCTGATTATACTAAAAAAAATAGATAAAATAAATTATTTTATTATATTTAGATTTACTATATATACAAATATTTTTAATTATATTTTTCTTAATATAAAATAAAATTTATTAAATTTTATCAGAATTTTACTAAAAAATTAAAAAATATATAAATAACTTATAAAAATTTTTATTAAAATTTAAAAATATATTTATATAAAATATTTTTTAATATATATGAAAATAACTAATAAACTTACTAGCTTTAATATAACTTTTTAAGAGAAATTCAAAGTAATTTAATTTTTATTTTTATTTAAATAATAATTATTTTTATAAATTTTTATTTAAAAATAAAATATTTTAAAATTTTTTAATTTAAATTATATAAATTACTATAATATAATTATTTATAAAATAATATTTCTAAAAAATATATATTTATAATAAATAATTAATAATTAAATAAATAATATATAATAATAAATTATAATTATTATTTTTATAATTATTATATTTAAAAGTAAAATAAATAAAAGAGATATATTTATAAAAATATTTTTTTAATTATAATTATTTAATAATTGAAAAACTTAAAGAATATATATAATTATAAAAGATTTAATTATATATAAAAAATAATAATAATATATAAAAATAAAAAAATATTATATAATAAATATCTCTTTAACTTCTAATATTTAAATTTAAATATTAAATTTTTTTATTTATAATTTTCTTAAATATTTTCTATTATTTTTAAGCTAAAATAAAATTATAAAATATAATTAATTAAAGATATATAATTTATTTTATACTTTTAAAAAAAATTTTTTATTATTAATTAAAAATAAAATTTTAATAAAAACTATTATAATAAAATTATTTTTTATAATAAATTTTATAATATTATAATAAGATTAAGAAAAATTAAGTTTAGAATTTTAAAAAATTTATTAAAAATTAATATGAAATTTTTTAAAATAAAAAATTTTTTTAAAATTATATATTTTTAACATATAAATAACTTTATTTTTTATAATAATTAAAAAAATTAAAAATACAATCAGATCTTTTTATAGTCATATTTCTTTATAATTATCTTTTTTTATAGTTATTTTTTTGAGTTTTCCAGTTATTAATTAGTTATAATTAAAAAATCTCTCTATAATCACATCTCTTTTTAGTCATCCAATTCTAATTTTGCCTTTCTAAGTGTGATAACTATAAAAAAATTTAACTATCTTTAAAAAATTTTAATTTTTAATAAAAATAAAATAAATATTAAATTTATAATATTTAAGTATTCAAATTTGAATGCTTAATATAATAATGTAATAATATTTTTTTTGTTATAATATAATAATATAATACAAAATTAAAAAATTAAAAATTATTATATATCTTCTCTCTTAGATTCAATATTTTATTTATTTAAAAAGATTTAAAGACTTTTATGAAATAAATCACCTTATATAGTTTTGTAGTTTTACAACTTCACTTGATATCACCAAGTCATTAAGTTTAAATTGAGTTTTAAATTTGAACTGAACTCAAATTTGAAAAAAAGTTTTAATTTGAGTTTGATTTCAAATCACACTCAAACTTGGCTTGAGTTTGATTCAAAATTTAAAGAAACATTAATTATTTATACTCAATCTTATCAAGTTCAGAGAACCTTTAACACTATATATACTATAATTGATTTTGGTATTATTAAAATAAGACTTGATTAATATTTTTTTTTGACTATTCATTTCTATAATTCATCAGTGTTACTAATAAGTGATTACACTTTGATTCATAATAAATAGTTTAATATTCTAAATTTGTAATGAAAATAGATTTATATGTGTAAAAACGCGTTGCGTTGATCCGTTATCACACGTCATCTAGTATAATTTTATTTAGTAAAGCTATATATAAAATGTGTATTGGGTCTAGTGCGAAATTAATTAGTCATCGTTAAATCAAAATAGTCGTCACACCAAATATACATATAAATAAGCTAAATAAGTTATCACGGATTGGTCGGTATAACTGACACCATTCAACGAAAACAACTGATTGTGTATATAGTGAACGTGAGAGGTGGAACCTTAAACCTTTGATAATAAAATCGTGCTCTAAACCAGTGTTTTTTTTTGCGTGTGGCTTCCTTTATTTCCCTGACTGACTGAAAGATTGGATTTAATATTTATTCCAATCTCTTTATTCTTTTATGATATTGTGTATTATTTGTTATTCAATTTAGTAATTTGCAAAATATGGTAGGGCGTCTTGGTTCATAAATTATTCTTTTTTACTATCGTAATAGTGGGTGGTGGTGATGGTGTTTTAGTAGTTGATGAAGCCAAAAACAATAAAAATAAAATTATTTTTCGTGTATGCTCTGTCGGTCTCTTTATTTTTGCGAATGAATAAAAAAGAATTATACAAGAAGCTGGAGGGAATGCCCACAGCACAGCAGCGTAGCGTAGTAACAACAACAGACGATCTATTTCATATATACATCATTGCTTTTTTTGCTGATCTTAACTGTATGATATAACAATAATAATAATATTAATTAATAGTCCTTTATAGAAAACATTTCACCTGCTGTGATCAAGAGAATTTCCAAAGAACTGCACGACATAATCGAGGATCCACCCGAAGGAATAAGAACAATCATTAATTACGAAGATATTTGTGACATTCAAGCATGGATCCTAGGGCCTGGTGAGTGGTGATTATTATTTTTATTGATTGGTCTAGTAATGCGTATATATAATCATCCCTGTGATTTGTTATTTTAATTTGTGTATGTTAGAGTGTACGCCATATGAAAAAGGTTGTTTCAAAGTGAAGTTGATGCTTAACGCTGATTTCCCTGCTGTCCCGCCAAAATGTGAGTGGAAATTATCATTTTTTTATTTTGTTGATAGGCTCGATTCAATTAATAAATATAGTCTTTTTCTCCATCAAAAAATAACAATGGATTTACAGGTTACTTTATCACTAAAATTTTCCATCCGAATGTCTCGCGAAATGGCGAAGTTTGTGTGAATACTTTAAAAAAGGATTGGCAGAAAGATTTGGGAGTGAAACATATTCTACTGGTTTGAATCTTTATAATTTTATGTTAGTTCTTTTAGATCAATAGACATTATTGAATACGTAATATCTATTTAGACGGTGAAATGTCTGTTGATTGTTCCTAACGCTGAATCAGCTCTTAATGAGGAGGCAGGAAAACTGCTATTGGAAAACTACGATGATTATGCAAAACATGCAAGGTTGTTAACCGGAATTCATGCGTCTACTATAGCCCCGGTATTTCTCGCGCCACCCAATCCTAGCAGTAGCTCATCAAGTGACACCGCTAGTTCTACAAATGCTACAAACACCAATGCAACCACCATCACTTCGATGACAGCAACAACCACAGTCACCACCGCAACAGCTGTTTCGTCAACAACACCAACGCCATCAACATCATCTAATCCCAAAAAAACTGCTGATGATTCCAAAGAATTAGAAGTCACTAAACCCGAAGATGTGTCAACACATACACAGGTGTCACCTCTGGCCGATTCTCATCACATCAACGAAACCAAATCGAATCTAAAAAAGAATCCTACGTCCTCATCATCAAATCCCAATAGTAATAGCACAAGTCCAACAGTCACACCAAAGAAACGTGTTGCAGAAAAGAAACTTGATAAGAAACAAGCAGACAAGAAACGAAGTTTGAAGAGGCTTTGATTATGTAATAAATATTATTATCAATTTTATTAAGATTATGTGGGCAGTATCTTATTTGTATAGAGTATTTAAAGTGTACTTCATTGTTAAAGATCCAGATTATCAGTCATTTCTACTATAAGTTTAAAAGTACAGCTACAAAGTGTTAATTACAGTTATTATTATTATTACTAGGATTCAACCAGAGCCGCATATAAGAGTAAATTTCTTCGTTGAGAATGTGGGTAGATTATGCTCTTTGTACGCACAACATGCATTTAATCATGGTGGAATAAAAGACGCATCAAATTTATATTTTCGTGTTTGACTTGCAAATATATAAGAATCAAATACATAATTAGCCATATTTGGCGATGCAAGTGTAAATTTAATGTTTTATCACATTAATAAAGAACAATCCCAACAATGAAAAATCCTGAGTTTCATTCCATGAATGGTGAATTTATTCATTGATCTAACAAGTCAATGAGTTGCGTAGCTTAATTTTACCGCTACAGATATCAGAAAACAAGTTTTTTGAGGACTTTGGATCTATAAAAAACATTAAATTTTGTTAATTGTTCAGAGTATTGCACAGGTAGAAAGGGTTGGGTTTTTTTGTGAACCTCTAAAGGAATTCAAGCTTTCCTAAGTGGTTTACTAAATTCAATGTACTATTAGAAACCCACCTAGGAAAGGAATTCCTTTAGAGGTTCACCAAAAAACCATAAGTATTACCAAACATTTTCTAACTAGAAAGATTTCACTTTTTATTACTCGCATTCTTCAGAGCTAACTTTTATCATTCTCCTTGGAACATTCTTCGAGGACAGAGTGGCATTAGTCAACATTTACCTTATTGACCTTGCATTTGATTATGGTTTTAGTCACGATCTGTTCTAATTATGACTCTCAGTCAACGAAATCTATAAACAAAAAATACACTTTATGGAATTAGATATAGTTATCATTAAAGAATTGATCATTCGAAACTAACTAATTCAAGAATCCTAACGTTTAACTCTAACCCTGACTACCGAATGGGACAACAAGAGCTCCTCATCCTTCCGAAGACCATTTATATTCAAGAAATCCCAAGAAACTGAATACTATTCCTATATTCGTGTAATTTAACACATTATTTATATCGAGTCCCGCTTTACCTTACATATTGCCTTGCCTGTCAAACAGCAACAACCATTCGCATAAATAACCTTTATTAGGTTAATGAGAGATGTAACCCTTATCCAGTTTTATAGATGTTCCGACCGAGAAGGTTGGCGACATTTGTAAAAAAAAAAGGAATTTGGAATAAAGATTTCGGCCAAAGATCTTGTATATTTTGAAATCAAGTATGTGTGTGTTACTATTATGGTTGCCAAAATGATTTGATTGGGTCAATAGAAGGCCGCCAGTTGGCAAAGATCTATTGTGTTTACATTTATTATTTTTAATCCATTGTAAACAAGTTTAGTAAGATCAACGACTGATAATAATTTAATATGATGCATCCAGCTTAGTTACATCATTTGTATCACTATTGAAGTGATTCGACAATTTACACAAAGATCTATAAAATTGATCAAAATAAAATTACACATAGAAATTAGGAATACGTGATTAAAAGACATGTCTATATCATGTGATTATGAATTATTATTGATAGCAATTAATAAAAATATATAAATGTTTAATTAAAATAATATCTTATTTGATTTAGCAAATAGAAAATATTTATTATAATAAAAATTATTCTACTATATTTTATGAAATAATGCTCATAAATATTATTATTTCAAAATCATATTCTTAAAAATAATATATATAGATATTCCAGAATAATATATATTTTATATAATATACAATATTAGATTTATATATAGTAATAAATTATATTTTTATATTAAAAGTATATTAATATATAATATAAAATATATATATTATTCAAATTATTGAATAAATATTAGCATTCTAAGCATGCTTAAATATTTTTATATATCTTAATATCTAATTATATAGCACAAAAATTTAATTTTTTTTTGATAGTTTTATTTTAAAAATTTCTAGTAATTTTTAATAATTCTTTAAATAAGTTATTATATATATTATTAATTAAATTTTATATAATAAGATTTTAAATATTTATAATTAATATTATAAAATATATTATTATATTATAAATTTTATTAATTATATAATCTGTCTTTTTATAATTAAATAATTTTATATATATTCTTTATTTCTTAATATATAATTTATATTTTTATAAATAATATTTATTTTATTTATTAATAATAAAGTTTTATATAATCATATTAATTATTTAAATTAATTACTTCATTAGGTTAGAGTTAGAATTAGAATTAATTTTAATTATTAAAAATTTTATTCAAATAATAAAAAGTTTCACATTCAAAATTTAATAATACAAAAATTTATTTTTAACTTGTCTTTTATTGTTAAATAATAGCTAAGATTCTTTTGATTTTGAAATATTATAATAAAATTTTATAATCATTCAATTTGAATTTTTCAATATTAAGTAATTATAATTAAAAATCTTTATGATTATTTAATTTTGCTTTTTCAATAGTAATTTGATTGTATTTGTTATAATTAAGAGAATTACTATTTATTAAATAATTTTTTAAGAAAAGAGAGAAAATCAATTGCTTATTATGTTATAGTAAGTTTATAAAATTAAAATCATATTATTAATTAATATCGCAAGGAAAAGAGAAAGAAAATTAACTTATAATAAAATTCAAATTATTATTACATGAAAAAGCAAAATTAGTATCATCAAATCACGAGAAATTTAATTACTAGGTTATCACGTGACATTACCTCATATCCTTCCGGAAATAAAGATCGGATGGTTGGTGAGGAGTCGGAAACACGTGGTCCGAACATTTGGGGTCGCTCTACTATGTAGACCCATTCTTGTTTGCAACCAACCAATCAAACATCAAATAAGAAAAATCTTTTTGAAACAACATTCTGCGGATCCTTCCTTATTATCAAGTCTTGAATTTTTCAAGTCAGTAGTCTATCTATCTATTCATCCATCCATCCATAATGGTAAACACAAAGAAGGTAAAACATTGATATATTGAATGGTTTATAATCACTTTTCAAGATGTGTTTGAGTATAAGGAAAGAGTAGTTTTTGGTCAGATTCGTTAAAGTGATTTTCCTTGGGCCTTGTATGTAGAATCTCGCTAAACTTTGTATTTCGGGAGACTACGATTGCTTGATAAGCTGTTACATTTATTCATAATAGATCATTACACTTTTGCTAACCCCTACTTGCTATATATAACAATAACAGCCAGCTGCCGAAGAAAAAGCGCCAGCTCAAAACTCAATGCGAGAACTTCGCATCGAAAAACTAGTTCTAAACATTTGTGTAGGTGAATCTGGGGACAGATTAACACGAGCTGCAAAAGTGCTCGAACAATTAACCGGCCAAACGCCAGTCTACTCAAAAGCTCGGTACACTGTACGCTCGTTCGGTATCCGACGTAACGAAAAAATCGCGGTCCACGTCACGGTTCGTGGTCCTAAAGCTGAGGAGATTTTAGAGCGTGGTCTAAAAGTAAAAGAATACGAACTGAAAAAGAGTAATTTCTCAGAGACTGGGAATTTTGGGTTCGGTATTCAGGAACACATCGATCTTGGTATCAAGTATGATCCATCTATTGGTATTTATGGAATGGATTTTTATGTGGTGCTTGGAAGGCCGGGACAACGTGTTTCGAGGAGACGACGTGCTCAGACTAAGGTTGGCTTTAGCCATCAAGTAACAAAAGATGAGACAGTCAAATGGTTTAAGCAACGGGTATGTATGGCGTTTCTTTCCTTTTTTTTATTTTGGGTGAGGATATGCGAAAAACAAATTAGACATATTTTACAAGTATCAATAAAATATGGATAATAAAAATACTTCAAAAAAAATTATTATCTAAATATTATTTCATTCTTTAATTTTTATGGTAACAGTTTGACGGTATTGTGCTCAATCGTTAAACCTTAAAATGTAAAATTGAAATTTGAAGCAATGGTGACCGATTGACGATGATGATGTATTTCAAAATATTTGTTTCTTGATTTTTTATTTGTTGTTATTCTATTCTATTTATATTGCGTATAATGAATTAATGAACGATGAAAAAAAACTACTTTTAGATTTATTGTGAAAGGGAGGAAAAGTTGAAGATAGCAGCAATTAATGTGATACTTTCGCATTTTTTATGTCAAAGTAATTTTCGCAACAATAATATAAACTTTAATAATATACTACTCCGTATTCCTTCAATTAATTCTTTTATCACGTGCATAATCTAGGTTAATTTGTTGAGTAATCACATGTTGGTTAGCTTGGTTCTTAAACAGAGGACGCTCTGGATATAGATCATATAATGCATAGCCAAAAAAAAACTAACTAAATGCTATTTATTCGTTATTCTTTGGAATGTTTATTTGTTTCAAATCAGATAACGAAGTGATGATGCCACCGAAAACTGGTAGACCATCTCTGGTCCGATCTTTGGGCCGGCCGAAACACCCCCCAATTTTACATCAATTCGATTCATATTATAACGATATACATTTGTTTATAATAGGATCGACACATGGGATGATCGAATGTTTAAGGAATTCTAAAAAGGCGCAATCAGTGATACAAACATATTTTAACTAGATATCTCAACTTCCGTGTGAAACCCTCAATGATATAAAAAATCCATCTTTTCGCGACATAAAACTTACTCTTCCAATACAAAATAAAACTTTTTTTCCTTATTATTCCCAAATCTTACTTATAATCTTTACGACTAATAAATATGGCTGAAGCTGAGTCTACCGGTAATGTGAGTATATGCTAGTGAAATGAGAATTGAAAAGCACTATATTTTTCTCTTTCGCACAGAAAAACTTTAAAAAAGAAATTCCTACCCTTGTTTGTACTATAACATTTAATAAATAATCTTATAATATATCTAAACAGGCAGAATTCATCAAAGCCGCGGGGGATGTCAAAAATTTGCCAACTAAGCCAACTGATGAACAATTGCTAGAATTGTACGGTCTGTACAAGCAAGCTATTTTTGGTGATAATGAAACTCGTAAGTTTTCGTTTTTGGTAGTTCTTAATTTTTTGATTTTTTTATTGATTTATACGATTTTTGTTTTTCATAGCGAAACCCGGAATGTTTGATCTCAAAGGAAAAGCTAAATGGGAAGCATGGACGAAAAAGAAAGGTATATATTTACTTGTTTATGTTTGTGTGTAATTGTTTTGACTGTATTTAAATATTAATTATTTTCTCTTTCATTAAAATAATAATAGGAACAACAAAGGAAAAGGCACAAGAAGAATACATTGCTTACGTTCAAGGACTCTTGAAATAAACAATAATCAATGATCGAATAATAATTAATAAATAGCAATTTTTGTAAGCTTTATTAATTTATTACCCTATATATTTAATTAATAAAATGGGACATACTTTGACAAAAAAAATTTGAAGTTATCACGAATGTTTAGGATTCAAAATTTCAAAATTCCAATATTGTAATTTTTAATCTTTGAATTAAAAGTATTTTACTTGTGAATTTGGGAAATGAAAGATTTAAAATTGTATCATTTTATTGTAAGTTATAATTTCCTGCACCATATATATTTCAAAAATTAAATAATAAATTATTTTTTTAAATTAAATATAATACTTTTAACTTGAAGATTTAGAACTTTATATTCTTATAAATTTTTTAAGATTACTTATTAAAAATTTATAAATTATAATAAACTATTAGTATATACTTGAAAAAACAAAATTAAGTAACCATTTTTTATTTTGTAATTCTTGGCAGGCAAATTTATCTGTCAAATTTTTAAAACTATTATTATTATATATATTTATTTATTAATATAAAGTTTTATATAAATATATTAATTATTTTTTTATTATAATAATTTAATACAATTTTATATAAATTTAATTCAAAATACATGTATTGTTAAATTGGAATTAGAATTAAATTTTTACTAATTAAAAATTTTATTTTAATAATAAAAAGTTTTATATTTAAAAATTATATTATAAAAATTTAAGATAAAATTTTTTATAAATTTATTATTAAATAATAATTATAATTCTATTAATTTTGAAATATTAACTAAAAAATCTTTTACTTAATAAAATTTAATAATATATTAAAAAATTAATTATTTAAATTATAGATAAATTTGTTTGCTTTATAAATTAAAAAATAAAATAGTATTTCAAAAAAAATCTTATTTAATTTAAGTTTAGTTTGATTTGAGCTTGAACTTGAACTTGAACTTGAAATTGAACTTATATTTGAATTTAAAATTTAAATTAAGTTTTAATTTAAATTTGAAAAAGTTCAAAATTTTTTAAACTTAAACTTAAATCAAATTTAAACTTGAAATTTAAATCTGATTTAAATACTATTTAAATTTTTAATTTTAATTAGATAAAATTAAATATTTTTATTTAAATAATTATAATTTATTATTATAAATATAATAGATAAATGAATATTTATTAAAAATAAAATAATTGAAAATTCAAGTAAAATTTATTTAACTTAAATTATATAATCAGTTTTTAATTATATAATATAAATTTTTATTAATATAATAAGTAAAATTAAAATAATTAGTAAATTAATTATTTAAGAAAAATATATTAATAATTAAAAAAATAATTATAAAAGTAAATAATATAAAATAATAATAAAAAATAATAATAAAAATAAATAATATAATAATAGTAATAATATAAAATAATAATAAAAATAAATAATATATTAATAATAAATTTAAAAATATAAAATAATTTAATTATATTAAATTATTTTTAGTTTAATTATCTAATTTCTATCTTATATTTTTTTATTAGTTCATTTATTTATAATTTTTATAATTCTTTACTAAAATTTAAATAAATTTTAATATTTTAATTCTTTTATAATACTTAAATATTTTTAAAATTAATCTTTATGATATGATATTTTTAATTAAAATATTAAATTAAATTATTTATTAAATTCAAGTTTAATTTAAAATTAAATTCAAATTAAACTTGAATTTTAATTTTAAATAAGTTTAAAAAATTAAATTAATTTTGAATTGAATTTTTTTTTAAAATTCAAATCTGATTTAAAAATTAATTTAAGTTTAAATTAAAATATTTAAGTAATTTTAAATAAAATTATAATCTAGATTCTAAATTATAATTTTATATAAAATATATTATAATAAAAAATTAAATATTTATAATATTTAAAATAATTTATTTTTTATTTATAAATAAAAATATTTTAATTATTTAATAATATTTTTAAATTTTTAATAAAATTATATAAAATAATTATAATTAGATTTCTTTATAATTATTCTTTTTTATAATTATCTTTTTTAAATTTTTTAGTTATAATTAACTATAATTAAAATATTTTTTTATAGTTATATTTTTCTTTAATTATTTAATTTTATATTTTTAAGTATAATAATTATAAAGAAATCAAATTATATAAGAAAATTTTTAATTTTTATTTAAAATTATAATATAATTTATTATGAAAATTTTGATATATCAGATAAATATTAATAAATTATTTTTTCAAATAAAATTTTTAATTCTGTTTTAGTTATTAAGTATTAAAATTTATTTAAATATAAAGATTTTTATTATATATTTTTTGCAACAATTTTGATTGGGTTATCTTTCTTTAGATCTCTTTTAGTTTAAATCTTCATTTTGCACTATCTGTATAATAGATTAGCTTTGTATTACATTTTTAAGAAGATCATTTTCACTCTGGATATACAGATGATCATTATGTATTAAATACTTCTAGATTTAGCACATTATTACTCAGATGATCACTATGTGTATCACAATTATTAATTTAGATTATTAATATTTTTCTTTTAATAATTCTTTATTTTCTTACTTGTTCTCTTTTATTATTATTTATATTATTATTTATTATTATTTATAATTATTATTAATTATTGAATTATGATTAGTTACCCTCTGAAGATGTGAATTAAGTTAATTAATTCTGTTTAACCATATGTATTTTAAAATAGATTTCATTATTAATTTATTCACTTTTTGTATTCATTTCTTTACTATAAATAAGATCTCTCTGTTCTGTAATTTTTCTTCAGATCTGAATACTTTTAAATAATAAAAACAATTATAAGTTATAAAATTAAACTTATTTATATTGTATTTTATCTTGTTTACAAATATTAACAAAATAATCTTACAAGCTAAATTAGTAGAACAAGAGAAAAAAGAAATTCTATTAAGAAAACTATCTATAACTAAAATAGCTCAAGTATATTATATAACTTTATGTAATAATTTTTATAGTACAATATTATATATAATATAATATGTAGTATAATAATAATCTGCAAGTGAAAATTAAACTTATTATATTATCTCTCTCTTAAGAATTAATATTCTCATTAATGCTTTGATTCAAAAGATTTCACAAGTTTTATAGTATTATGAAGATTTTCTAAAAGTTTTAGATAGAGTTATGAAAAGGATAATCTAGTTATTTAATTAAATATTACAGTTTGTTACAAATAATTCTTTTATCTAAAATAGCTTTAACTTAAATTCTTCTTCATCAGTTTCAGATATAATGATTAGTTATGATAATGTTAGATAAATAAATTTTTCATTATCATTAGGATTATATAATTTTAATAATAAAATATGAAAGACAGGATGGATTTTCATATACAAAAATAAAATCAGTTTATATGCAATAAATAAAATTATTTCAAGAATAGTAAAAGAATCAATATATTTAGATATGAGTTTTTTACTAAGATATTATTTATCTATAAGATTGATGATATTATGAGTTGAAAGTAAGACTTGATATTTAGTTTTAAATTCTTGATAATAATGATATTGATTAGTATATTTAGATTTGTGATCCTATATTTTCATTAATAAATTTTTAGTATATTTTATCATATTATTCTAATATTGAATGAATTTATTATTAACAGTAACTTTATTATCTGAGATAAGTATTGCAAATGTTATTAGATATTGACCATAATCTAACTCAAAAGTTATATGATTAGAAGAAGCTTGAATAGAATTATTATATGCAAATTCAGTAATAACAAAATATTTATTCTAGTAGTCTTAATTATAAGTAGAATAAATTCTTAATATTTCTTTTAAAGTATAATTTATTTTTTCAGTTTGTCTATTAGTTTATGGGTGAAATATAGTTGACATAACTAATTTAGTTTCAATTTATTCAAATAATAATCTTCAGAAATAACTAGTAAATTTGGCATCATGATCTGAAATTATAATACAAGGTAGTTTATATAATTTAAAAATATTATTGAAAAAGAGTTTGATAACTTCAGATTCAGTGACAGTAGTATATATAGGAATAAAATGAGTATATTTAGTAAGATAATTTATAATAATTAAAATTGTATTATATTCTTGATGAGTTATAGATAATTATATAATAAAATTCAAAGTAATTTGTTTCTAGTACTGTTTAGATATTTTTAAGAGTTGTAGAAGACCTATAGGTAATTGATTATTACTTTTATTTCTTTGATATTTTTTATAATTAAGGATATATTTATGAATATTCTTGAATATTTTTGATTAATAATAGTATTACTGTAATTACTTATAAGTTTTATTAATTCCAAGATAATCAGAGATAGAAATATCATGATATTCTTTTAAAATTTGTATTCTTAAAACTTTATTCTTAAATATAGCAAGTTAATTTGTATTCTTTAGATAAATTTTATTATTCTTTAACTTAAAATATCATGTTCTTGATTATTATTTTGATATGACTAATTCAAAATTATGTAAAGTTATCTAGATTTTCTTAAAATAATTATTATTTTCATATTCTTATTGTAATTTTTCATTATTAATTAATTATACAGAAATTATAGTAAAATTATTCACTTGTAATAGATAAGATAAAGCATTAGCAATGATATTTTTCTTTTCTGATTTATATTTAATAATAAAATCATTAGCTTATAAGATTTTTAGCTAGCGAGCTTAATATTTAGAAAGATTATGCTATATTTTAATATATTTAAGAAATGTATGATCAGTAATAATAATAAATTATTAATCTTTTAAATATAATTTTCAAAGATAAATAGTATGTACAATAACAAGAAGTTTTTTTTTATATATAGAATAGTTTTGCTTAGTAGATGATAATTTATATGATTCATAAATAACTAATTGATTTTCTTTTTTATGATTTTAACTAAGAATAGTTCCTATAGCAAACTCAAATGTATCAGTAGTTATTATAAAGAATAGTTTAGGATCTGGCAAAATT